TCTGGCTACTGTAGAAACACCATCCACAAATTTGGTTTTGAAAAGAACGTTTGCATTGTTGAACATACCTTCTTTTAGTGACACCACAATGAACTTAAAGAAAAAAGAAAAAAAGCATAAAAAACTTTTGTGATATATTTGACGTTTACTCCTTTATACTGGGGACAAGAATTGTTTGGAGATCATTTTGCTTTTCCTATTTTTTTAAACAGTTATATTAGGTACCTGAATGAATGCTAGCTTTCCATATTGTTTTAGAAATCTCTTAATTTTACTTTGAATCCTTTGTTACCCAGTTTTACTACTTCCTGGTGGTTGACTGCTTGTTGCTAACTTTTGTAGCTGGCATTCAGTTTTGCAGCTAACTACAGCTGCTCCAGTGAAATATTTTTTCTTATATATTTTAATAATGTTAGAGGTTTCAAGTTCCTATGGCACACCACTAGCCCAAATGGAACTTTTGAATACTTAGGCACCCCCTACCCCCCAGTTCAATGTTATTTGCCAAAACACTGCTATAATAAATACTCAATCCATGGTAACTATGAGTGAAGTCCCAAGAGTTGTACGATGCATAATTTATGCAAACATATTTGGCAGCCTCAGCTCCTAAAGCAATAGTGCAATAAAAATAAACTGTTCTTGGCTTCAAGAGGCTTTCTTCTACTTTTTGGCCATAGAAATTAAATTCTCCCATCAAGTGTCATGTGATTTTCCAATACCTGAGTTAAATATTCCTGAGACAGTTTTGACTGTACAACTTTATGGCAGCTAACTAGAAAAACAATATTAACCCTAAATCAATTCTGTATTATGACTAAATTGGAATCTCCCTCATGCTACAACTAACATTTTTAATGCCTAGCTCTTTCTTTAAAAGGAATAGTGAACCTTTTTCCCTTCTATGCCTATTAAATAAGAGTATATTTAAATAGATACACAATGCTTTAGTATTTATCAGCCCTAAATATCTTACTAACATTTGACTACTACTAAAGAACAGTTTTTAGGAGACATTCTTTTCTGGTTCTTACCTGAGAATGTGTGAAATGAGTACGCAGCATCTGTCCAATATTTTGGGTATGAGAAAGATCCAAGGCTGCATCTACCTCATCAAGGATATAAATTGGAGCAGGTTTGAAGAGGAGCATGGACAGTATTAATGACAAGGCCACTAAAGACCTAAGAAAAGGTCAGTGGAAGAAAAGCCATAAAAAATTGATCTTATCATTTATCAAAAACACTGAAGCAAATATGTGATCCTATTATTGTGAATACAGCAGATTTATGTGAAAGGTAGTCATTTAAAAAAATAATCTTGAGTTTCAAACTTTAACACTTTTGTTGTATTAAAATATTTGATTTTAGCTTTCCATTTTTCGTCTTTTCAGAAGCATGCTGGTTTCATAAGACAATTTTAATACTGTCATATTACATTTGGTACCTATTCTTAAGATCATCTTAGTTTTAAAAGTTCTTTTTCTTTTCCTTCCCCATTTCGCTTATTAGAGCACAGGTAGCAGGTGACTAAGGGCTATGTAATTATTTAAGACAACAGCTATTGTCTTGATAACAGTAACGGGGTTAGATGTCATTTTTCAAACTTTCATAATGTACACTTATGTAAGCATGCATATACAGACAAACACAGACACACACTCTCTATATAGTTTTGGCACCACTGTGAGGAAGTTGTACAGATGATGGCCCATTAGTCTAAGTACATCACTGTCAGAAGTTCAAACAAGCTTATGTAAAATTTATAGTTACACAGCATATTTTCAGTTCTCTTCTAGCTCACTGCAGTTCCTTCTAATCTGGTACGAAGAATCATACTTCTATTTTTTTCTTAAAAATATATAATTCATAAAAAGTCTTGATACAAAATATTTATAAATACTTCATATTAGACTAAAAATTAGAGTAACATTTTTAATATTCTGTAACTAACTTCAAGTATCTCCTGGCATATATAGTACGAGAATAGGCAACACAATGCTTGCTGCATTGTTTTCTTTTTGAGACAGAATCTTGCTCTGTCACCCAAGCTGGAATGCAGTGGCATGATCTCAGCTCACTGCAACCTCCACTTCCTGGGTTCAAGTGATTATCTCACCTCAGCCTCCTGAATAGCTGGGATTACAAGTGCCTGCCACCACGCCTGGCTAATTTTTGTAGTTATAGTAGAGACGGGGTTTCACCATGTTGGCCAGGCTGATCTTGAACTCCTGACCTCAACTGATCCATCTACCTCAGCCTCTCAAAGTGCTGGGATTACAGGCGTGAGCCACTGTACCCAGCCCAAGGCTTGCTGCATTGTAATACAGGTATTTATTAAAAAATATGTAAGCAGGGAAAAAAATGTGTGCACAAGTACAAAAAAAAAAAAAAAAAGCCAAAAAAAAAAAAAAAAAAGAATAAAACAGTATAATCAAAACCAATCACACTGAGACTGTTAATCACCTCTAAAATGGGAGCTAAGGTCATTAAGCCAAACTAAAATTATGTTTCATTGTCTTTCTCTGTGATGAGTGTCTTAAGTATTGAATTTTAAACTTAAAATCTGCTACGCTGGAGGGTTTAACTGCCATGCTGTATAGTGGTATAACTAAAAATAACTTTATAGCATCTTAATTATGGAAGTAATTTATAGGTCCCAATAAGAAGAGAAGCATACATTTTTTATTTTCTTCAAAACATTTTCTAGGGATTGGCAAATACAGCTAAAGATATTAGGATCTAAACTATAAAATTCAATTTTGATGAACATGCAGCAGGAGCTGTCTTTTCGATTATTAAATTATTTACAAACCTTATCTATCGTAAAAATATAAGTAAAATATATATCCACTCATAAAAATGATAAAAGGGGTTATAAGAAAAATTAACAAGTGTCAATATTTTCTATGTACATAAAAAAGGGTTACATGATGGTATTACAGGACGTAAACAATTCAAGGTTTATGGATTATATATCCTGCAGGAGCAAAAAAATTATTAAACACTAATTTCAATTATGTGAATATTCACAACCTCCTTTCAGAAGGTTTTAATTGGCTATCTGCAGGTAAGGAGTGAGGACATATGACCTTGATTTTCTGAATCACTGTGTAAGGCTGGGTGAAAAGTGCCTGGAACTCCAAATCCACGCTATTTTCCAACACTCTTCCTTTATACAGATCCAAGGTTCCAGTAGTATGGTTCTGCTAAATCAAATCCTTTCAGCTTTTGTTTTTGTCTGAAAAGTATTCATATTGTCTTCAATTTGAAGAATATTTCTGTTAGAGATGCAATTTTAAGTAAGTTGATTGATAGGTTTTACTTTCAACACTCTACGGATGTTCCCGACTTCTGGCTTGCAGTGTTTAACAAGAAGTCTCAAGTCATTTTTATTTTTGTTCACTGGTGTATAATATGTCTTTTTCTCTAGCTACTTTTAGGATTTTCCACCTAATCACTGTTTTTCAACACTTTTGTATGTTTCTGTTTATCCTTGAGGTTGAAAGAACTCAATTCTGTGGGTTTACAGAATTCATCAAATCTGGAAAATATGGAGCTATAATTTCTTCAAGTATTTTTCCATCTTCCCTGTTCCTCTCCTTTGGAACTCCAATTACTTGTACATTAGACAGCTTCCCATAGGACACTGAAGGTGTTTTTTTCCCCTGTTTTTTATTTCTCAGTGTAGCTTGAATACATTGTTTTATTGCTGTGTCTTGAAATTTACTCATCTTTCTTCTTTTACAGCTGTTAATCTCATGCAATGAACCTTTAATCTCCGGAAGGTCCACTTAATTTTTTTTAGTAGCTTCTATTTCCCTCAGTATGCTCATGTTTTATTGTAATTCTTGAAAATTAATGTTAAAACTCTAACTTCCTTGTTTCCTACTTTGATCATCTGTCATTTTATAGTCTTGTTTCTACTTACTGATTTTTTAATTTAATTTTTCATTACATGCTGGACATTGTGGTTATGTTGTTTAGTATCTCAATTTTTTTTTTAAACCTTCTTGAAAGAACGTTGGCCTTTATTCTGACAAATAAGTAACATGTAGATCAGTTTCTTAGGGTGTGTCTAGATTAGTCTTCAGTTCAGGGACAGTAGAGACCTAATACCAAGGTGTAGCACTCTGGGGCACTGAAAAATTCTAATCTGTCTTTTTAAGTCAGACCACTGACCTCTGTTTGGGTTCCCATTCTGCATCTGAAGTCCAAAAACATAGGTGAACATAGGGCTCAGCATTTCTGTTTCATCTTGTCCTGGACTATTCATTTTCTAATATTTGAAAATAGATTTTTTTTAAAAAACATTTTGTCTAATTTTCTATGTACTACTTATTTCTCCTTTGTCACCTGCTATTTAAATCAAATGTTACCAAAATGTTTATTCTTATATCTTAGGCTCTTTAAATTCTACATGCAAAGGTAGTTAAGCAAATTAAAACAGAAATACAATTGTGAGGTAATGAGATGAATTATAATAAAGTAAGAGGAATTAAAATTCTAATATTGCAAAGTGATTCCTCACCTCTGACCACCACTAAGTTCGGTTAGGTTTTCCTTCCAGGTATTTCCTAAGGCAACCTTGAACTCCAGGCCATCCAAAACAGTTTGACCCTCTGGTGGTGCAAGCATAGCATTAGCACCAGGCAAAAGAGTGGAAAATATAGAGCCAAAGTCCTTGTTCACCTGGATTAAAAAAATTAAAACATCAGCAATGCTTTCCAAGAAGAAGAATCAATTGTTGATATATGTACATGCAACACAGCAGGTCTATTTTGTTGTCTGCTACTCTGAGGGGCTGACAAACTATGGCCCATGTGACAAGTCTGGATATGCTCACAAGCAAAAAATATTTAGTATCTGGCCCTCTACAAAAATGAATTCCTGAATCCTGCTGTAATTTCCAGGGGAACTAGAATGTACACCTCTAACTCTACTCCAAAGTTTTGATACTTTGGTAGAACATACTGCAGGAATCATCAAGATACACACAATTGTATCCCATGAGAATAAAAGACAAAATAGAGAAGCAAACAAAAGTCTTTTTGGAATAAAGTCTTCTCTTACAAACTTTTCTTTTTCCTCTTGACTGATAGAATGAGTCTATGGTTACTAAAGGCCTAAGCAGATTAGGGTGAGACCCAGGAGAAAAAGGGGCATGAAATCGAAGGACCAGATCTGTTCAAGGTGTTAAAGGTTTCTTTTCTATATGCCTCATCTCCTAGATGAAGAGGTTAAGCTGGTGAGGGCCAGAAATAGGATTAGATCCCAAGAAAAAAGAAAGCTGTTTGGCCTGCCCCCGTTTTGCCACAGAAGGAGACAGAGATTTAGGACCAAAAACCTAGCTTCTAATAGGGTTAACTAACTTTTGTTCACATGCACTTGATTGATGATTTGGGAATTTGGCCATCTGTCTTAAAAGACATGACTAATATTCTTAGTGCAGCAGTCAAACTTGAAAGGGTAACACACACACATACACAAGGACTTGACAGCCAAGTTCTCTAGAGAAATCTCCAAATTCAAATGCAGGTTTACAAAATTCAAATGTAAATACAATTTTTAATGAATATTAACAGTAACAAGAACATCTCAGACTCAAGCAGTACTACTAAATATAGATTTACTCAGCAACACACATTTTAAGAGCAATCCCACACCTGCTGAATAATATCCTACAAAGTGGAAGCAGGTTCTAAGCCAAGTGGGGGAGCGGCAGCTCAGGACCAAGAGACAGGAATGCTCCTAAACCTGAACATAACCGTGGACCCAGTGTGAAACTTCCTCTAAAAGAGAATGGACAGAGAAGAATAGAGCCCTATGCTATATAGAAAATAAGTAATATTCATAGATTGATATAAAGACGAAATAAAATAGAATTCTGCAAGTCTGTCGAGGCTATGAAGGAAACAAGGAAGAAACAAAAAAAGCCTAGAATACTCTGGCTTTGTCACTTAGTCAAGTCTGCCTGAAGCCAGAGGGAAGAATATAACGCTGATGATAACCGTACCTACTTCACTAGGTTACTGTGAAGATTAGATGAGAAAATTAATTTGAGAATAGTGACTAGAATATAATAAGCACTGAATTAAATGTTACTTGCTTTGGAATAACTGTGGTTACTGGGGAAGAGCAGGTTATGCGCAGACAATAGACTCTGATTTGTACTAAGTCCAGGAACCCTGGCGGGAAAGAAGGAAAAAACCTCTAAGATCTAGTGTTAAATCGACATGCTGCACAACAATAACAGGGTCAGCCTTTTGCTTCCATTTTTAAAGGGGACAAATACTACAGGGAATGGAGCACTGAAAATAAGGCTTAGAGAAGAAAAAAAACCAGGTGACTAAAAGAGATAATTGTGCTGCATTATTGAAGATAAAGTTCCTACAGAATTACAAAGAGAAAAAGAGGCAATGTGCCCAATTAAAACCCAGAAGGCACAAGAGTCTTTTACTATGGTAAAAATGGAAAAACTTCTGCATGAGAGGCTAAGGAATTATCCTACAGGAGACAGATATATGAAGTCAGGGAAGAGGAAGTTAAGAAGCCTGAGATCTGCCCAAGTTGTCATAATACAAAAATGGAATTGGGATTTTGTTGAGTAAGCATCTTGTAAAAGAGAATACTAAACTTGCCTTGTTTATTGTCCAGTTTCTAGAGGTACAAGAACGTCTGCATCGGGTGGCAGTCAAGTCGAAAAAGAAAAAATGCATTTAAAAAGTCTGAGGTTTTAATTAAGGTGTGAACATGTGCCTCACTCAAACAAAGATCAGCCATTTCAGATTTCTCACTGAGTAAAAATGCCCTGATAATATATTTTTATCCTTGCCACCTCAAGTAAAACAAAACAATATTCTGGGGTTCAAATACCTTTTGCCATGCAATATTTAGGGCTTGGTTTTTCTTCTGGTCAAGGTCTTCTATAGTTGTAAGAATTTTGGATTTGTCATTTTCCACAATTCTCTTCTTCTTCATCAAGTCATTATACTGTGAGAATGAAAACATAATTAAGTGAAAATATAAAATCACTATTCTGGAATTCAGTCAGAAATAAACAGGTTTCATTGTTTTTATATTATGATATATACATTCCTATTACCAAAAAGATATAATGCACTAAGAGTTATACATACTCTTGTAATATATACTATATATATGCTATATGATGTGCGTGTATATATACACACTCTTAAAAAATTAGTAAAATCATCCATATATATATATATATATATATATATAACAAAATTAAATTGCTAGAACCAAGAATTTAGAAGACAAGTTCTTAAAATATTTTGACTCCACTAATACTTCCTTATCTCCTTAGCACCCAAGTCAAAAAAAAAAAAAAAAGTGTTACGTATAAACTTAAGTAGCCCTGAAAGCTCTCATCTTAACATCAGCCTTAGCAGTGACGTGAACAAAATTTTGATCCTTCACCATGATGAGAGTCCTACATAAATAGAACCTTATTGTTGTTTTTATTTTAGGTTCTGGAATACATGTGCAGAATGTGCAGATTTGTTACATACAAATACATGTGCCATGATGGTTTGCTGCACCCATCCATCCATAATCTAAGTTTTAAGCCCTGAATGTATGAGGATAAAGAGATTTGGACTTCATTTATCCCTCGATTGTATGGCATTAAACTGCTCCCCAGGTTCTGGCCATCTGGTCCTTGATAGCTCCTTTGAACGTAATAAACTCACTATTGTCTTATGGCCCCTGCACTGATCTCCCTTCCTGAATGCTCTTTCTCTATATCTGACTTAATGGTTCCTTGAAATTTCAGCTCAAATAGTACCACTTTAGAGTAGTCTTCCTTTGAGCAAGGCTGTAGAGGGATAATCATACCACCAACAGCAGTGGGACTTACTAACACATTTCTCTTCAAAGCCCTACATTTCAAGGAGGCTTCATATTTACCTTGAACATCTCTAGCCTGCCCTGCTGTCTTCCTTGCTGTCCCTCTCCTTTATGGCCACACTCCCCAAGCCTCCTCTCAACATTTTTACCTTATTTTTGCGTGAAAATCCATGTAATTGCTTACGTAGACGGATACAAAACACAAGAAAAAAATAAAAGCCCATCTGCTGATCAACAATACAGGCTTCCCCTCTGCTAAAGAGATGGGAGTTGATAAATTCTTTTGAAAAAAATACTAGACTCAGGTCTCATTAATAGAAGTGAACAAGTTTCATCATGTTATGCAGATCAAATTCAGACCAAACTTTTCCTTCCACAAATATGCCACATATTGCAAAGCTTTAATGTAGAATTGAAAACCAGCAGGAACATTTTAGAGAGAGATCACAACACCTGCATGATTCATCTGTTTGGTATCTAACATAATCTAGATTCTTTATGCATATTCATGCCAATAACAGTTAAAAAAATGTTATGGTAAAATTCTTAAAAGTAATTTTGTGCTCTTATTATCAGTGTTGCAGATGAATTTTTTACTCTATGATTTGCAAATTCAAACAGAATTCTGCAAAATTAAGGAAGGTAAGGAACATTAATATAAAATTACTAAGAGCTATTTCTTATGGTTATCTTAAGAGTAGGGAGTGCTTCCTCTGCTGGATCTTTCTAGTGATAGAAGTTTATAACTAGATGACAGTAAATTCTCTTCCCAGACTCATAGTTTTGTCAGGTTAGGGGAGATGAATAACATCATCAAGTAAATGAGAGCATAAAACTGAGAAAAGGCTGCGGGATTTACAGATTAGTGAAACAATATTTATGTATATAATGGATTTAGTCATTACTTATCTAATAGTTTCAGTAGACAGTAGAGTCAAGAGAAAGCAGTTCTGGAATGACTGGTGACTAGGCAAACAGCAGCGTACCCTATTCAAGGATTTTCAATGCAAGTAAAAGAAATGATAGAAATGTAAGGAGTTAGTTAGCAAGATTCAAAAATGTCTGACAAAGAACAAAAGCCAGCGGAAAAGTCATTCCAGGTGTAAAAGAATGTAAAAACAACTAATGACACAAGAGTAACAAGAAAAAAATGACAAAAAGAGAAAAAAAAAAGCAGAAAGAAAAGTTTCAAGGACATCTGCAAAAGGTTAACTCTAGTAATTGCTATCAATGCTAGTCATGTCCTAATGTGGCCAGATATTCATAGGAAATTGACTCACCCGCTCTTCAGCTTCCGTCAGTACATTCATAGCTCTCATATTGACATTTCTTCCTAGTTTCTCCTTCATTTCTTGCAACTTCTGAAGTCTTTGACCAGCTTCTTTAGGGTTGTTAGTTTTGAAATCATAGGCAGTATTGGGTTGGCCAAAGAGGTGTCTCTCTGTATTAATCCAGTCATAATCTTTCAACATTTTGGATACCTAGCCACATATAAAAATAGATGGAGATCAGATCTATGAAAGTTTACAAAGCAATATATATAAAGCAGTTTCTTAAATATTTAATACTTTTGAATCAAATACTGAAGAGAAAGAACCCTCAATGACTCATTTTTAAAAATGAGTTTCATTACTGACAGGAATAAAGATGAATATTTTTACCTGGAGCACAGATTACAGAAACAAGAGATTGTATAGCAAAAGATCTTCCTATTACTTTGCATTAGAAAAGTCAACTCACAGAGAAATTTTTACAAAGTATACGCAAAGCATCTCCATTAGAGTGAAACATAAGTCAGATAGAACTCCTTTAGAACTTACCAAATTCCATCTACTGCTTCAAAAACACAACTTGTGAGAAGTTAAAATTCTTTTCATAGTCATAGATTTGGTAAAATTAAGGAAACTAACGCTGACTGAGACCTAATAATTTTTGTCTCAGAACTATATTCTAAGAAACTGCCCTAAACCTGGACTCTGTCCCTGCTCCCACCCTTCTGAAAAAGGCACAGTATAATACTTTTTCATGTAATACAGCTGATTATACAGTTCAAATTATAGTGCTTAAAGAATACTTTGTTCTACTAGAATTATGATTCATTCTCACTGGCAGAATCCAATCTTTGTTAATTTGTTAACCTGTTTTAATTCCATGGATATGGTCTCACCTGTAGGCCCCAAAATAAAATTATCATTTCTAGTGTATCTTCCCCTTTTGATCTGTAAGCTCTCTGAAAGCATTTTGCTCATCCTTATACTGTCAGTGCCTGGCACAGTATCTGATACTAGCAGGTACGCAATAAATCTTTGATTAATAATGTTTTTCAGAGAATCATTGACTTCTTAGCAGCCCCACTTGCAAGTCTCTCCTTTTACTCTTTCAATTGTAAATAAAATCTCCTAGCAATCACCAGTACTAGCATTTTCAATTACCAAAAACTATTAGCAGTAACATTGGCGTTGGCAATATTTCAGTCAGTCCACTATCACTAAGCTAATGGGAAATCAATAGTAATAAAGTGGGAGATTATAATGTAGCCATAAAAAACGTTTTTTAAACCAAGTTCCACGATTCTTTCAGAAAAAGGAGAGACTGCTTTGTATGGTTCTTGATCTTTCTGAAGTTAAAGTTCATGTATTTTTAGGATGCTAAAAAAATCCTGGACATAAGAAAACATGCTGGATGAATTATTAATACCATGTGAATGCAGCTTCTCAACCAAGCAATGAATTTCTGCAAATGCACGTGTTCTCTTTAAAGCACTAAAGTAAACGCGCTGTGATACATCAAAGCAAGCAAGCATGGGATAACCTCGAAAACATAACTGCTTGGCTAAACATCAGATTTTTTTTTATAAAGTTGCAAATACTGACAGCAGTGACACTCAAAGACATCTGGAAGCCAATTCAGTCCTTTTTCAGGTTACCTGTATATACAACTCTGTGAGTTCTTTAAATTCAATTTGAAACAAGGTATAGAATCATTACTAGCACATCAGTAATTAGTTCTATCAACATTTGGTGGTGAAAAGTTATTTCTATGGGAGACCACCAAACATTTGGTAAATACACCTTGTAGATGGGAACAAATAATTAAAATGAAATCTTAAAACAAAACATTTGTGCCATTTGTTGAAATTTAGCATTGTTGAAAAGCAGTTAAGAGCTGCAAGCTCAAATTTATGTCAAGCTGTAAGTCTGCCATTTATATTTATAGAGTTCTCCATCAAGCAGTTTTCTAAAATTTTTCAAGAGCTCAGAAACAAAAATTTGATTAAGTATAAAAAAATGAACACAAACGTGCCTTTGCAGCGCCATCTTCAGCCTCCCGTTTATGTTTGCTGATGTTGTGGTCTAATTCCTTAATTTTAAGCTGAGAATCATTGTTTTGCTCCTTG